CACACCCACACCCACACCCACACCCACCCACACCCACACCCACACCCTTACCTATATCAAGACCCTAAACACACTAGCCTATGGACAAAATATCCGAATTTTTGAACTTAATCTTCACAAGATATAAATTTTTTAAAGTGTTGACGTTGCTTCACAGATATTGTAAAAAACACGAATATTTTGAAACATACATATTTCGTGAAGCTTAAGTTCAAAAATTCTGATATTTTGTTCATAGGCTAGCCGGTTTGGGATCTTGATATAAGTAAAGTTTCAAACCAAAATTCGACAATACGATTTGCTATACATCTTGAGTACTATGAGGAAAATTGTTTAAAAACTCGATATCTCAGAAATAAAGACGCGAGGGAACGAATTCTTTTCAGATTTTTCATATCACATCAAGGTCTACTTATGACCAAAGAATGGAATGTAAAGGGCTTAATCACCTGAATACGTTCCCTCGTTAGTTGTACCAGTAACCATAGGTGCGGTTATGATGATTGGATCGAAAACGTAGGTACAATGATTGTATTGGTACCGGTAACCCTAGATATGGTTATCGGTTTGGACCAGTAAAACGATGACGGTTAACCGGTGAATAGTCTTCACCGTTGTATTCCTAGTTATTACCAATACTGTCCATTTAGAACTACGAAAATCTGCGGTGATGACTGGTTTCCGCTATTACTCAAACAACATAAGATTCAATGCATCGAGCAGTACTAATATACGGGTCTCCATTAGGGGTTCATATAACCTTACCGGCTGCATTCTCTGCTTTACTCCGAAGTTCTGATGAGTATTTGCCAAAATTAATTGGAACAAAAGATCACTTCCTATCAGAAAATTAAATGCTAGAGTTCCTGAGATGTATCGCTTAGGACAGACAAAAGTGCAAAAAAGTGATCGGTGCACTGGTCCCACCGGTGCACCGTCCACCGATCTCACCAATTCACCGTTCACTGGTCTCACCCGTCCGTCGGGTCGCCGGTTCCCCGATTCACCGTATCAACTGGGGAACCGGTGGGCGGTGAAACCATTACTACGGTAGACCGATGAATGGCGAACCGCCACCAGTGCATCTCCACGCTCACCCACACTCGCACCACACCACCCCACACGCACATCCACACCCGCACCCGCACCCATAGCCACATCTACACTCACATCCACACCCACACCCACACCCACACCCTCACCCACACCCACACCTACACCCACACCCTCACCCTCACCCACATCCACACCCACCCACACCCTCACCCGCACCACACCCACCCACCCACACCCACTCACACC